TTGCGGATGAAAATCCTTTGATATAAAAGTCAAGAAGAATGACAGATTTATTCCTGGAGAATAATTTTTAATATCTCTTAATAATGAATAGATTTTCAAGAAGATATTTGGCCAGAGGTAGGCAAGCCGAAACTCTTTCTTATCTTCTGATCTTGCCGTCATGTTTGCTTTCTAAAAAGATGGGAGAAATACTAAGGAGGTGTGAGATAAAGACAGTTTTCCAAGAAAATCTGACACTTTATTCGGTTATGCCTTCTTTTAGAGATAAATATGATCCACTATCAAGATCTGGCTTTACAAGAATATGTGCTCCTGTGGCCGGCCCTATGTCGGTGAAGAAAACCAGGTATTTTCCCATATCACATTCTTTATTATGATTGTCGATGAAGCAAGGTTGTATTTGCTATAACATTCGACTGTATTACTTATTTTTCATTTATAAGCACAGTTTCGAAACTACCATTCCTTCATCATCTCGGACGAAATAGGCTGAATATATCTCATATAATTGATAGTCTCGAAACCCTGTTCATAAAATAAACATAATTTAAAACAACAACTGTTCAACGAAAGGATACCGCGAATATACTAACGACCACACCGTCAATAATAGAATATTCTAGTTTATAAAAAATGTTACTTTTCCTAATATAATTACCTGTATAACCTGTATCGTATCCAATGTCCAGCTATTCAACCAGACAAGACGGCCCTGCGGTCCCCCGAGCAGAAGACAATTGACTCCGCGGCCCTCAGGAAGACTAGAATAAGCCATCGGAAGCCGCGGTGGAAGGTCGTCTGCCCAAGTTCTATCAGTGCAAGCAATGATGGTACCCACTGCAGCTACCACAGGATTAGAGATATTAGTTTCAGGAACATTCAAAGAATAAGGACAGTGAAGAGTGGACGGTAAACAGCTCTCGCCGATCTCACTGAGGAAGTCGACCACTCGCGCAGCCACGCATCGCCCAGCCGCGGGTGAATGTATGGAAAGCCAGATAACTTTTGAAAAAATAATCAAAAAGCCATTAAAAGGAGGAGATAAAGTTGGGAAATAGAATAAAAAGAAATGATTTTATGAAGTAAAATTGTTTTTATGCAGTTTTCAGCTCAACACTACATGCAAGACCTATAAGAATCACAAGC